ACTCCCTTCTCTATTTCAATGGATACAATTCACAACTTATAATATGTGCCTGAACCCACTGTACACTACAGCCTGTTTACAACGTGAAGGGATCCTGCACTCTTTGGAGCCAATTTCCACTGCTCACGTGGTGTATGGAGGCTTTAGAGTCAGAGAGAATCAGGATTGTTACAATCTTTCTGGTAAAGCATGTGAATGAACCAAGGCAAGTATTTCTCACCCAGGGATGATGATTTTCTGGACAGGACTCAAGTGAGCAGAACAGATCTGGAATTATTTTAAGTCATATCTCACAGGAAAACAAACCACAACAAAACAAACAACTAAACATTTAAGAATATCTTCAGATACAGGAAGATAACTCACATTAAATTAAATGTATTTAACTGCACCTTCCCTCATTCCTACTACAGACATATGGGGTACATCTAGTATATTTGTTCAATTCAGAACTGCATAGAATTATTAAGGTCAGAAGGCACCTTAAAGACCATCACATTCCAACCTCCCTGCCATGAGCAGGGACACCTCCCACTAGACCAGACCGCACAAGCCTCATCCAACCTGGCCTCAAACACCTCCAGGGAGGGGGCTTCCACAACCTCCCTGGGCAACATGTTCCACTGCCTTACTACTCACATGGTGAAGAATTTCTTGCTGATGTCTGACCTACATCTTGTTCAACAATTATGGAACTAGCTAAAAACAACCTCTGTCCAAAATGTGTATTTGGAACCTCAATGTCATCTCTCTCACCCTCACAAGCTGGGTCTACACTACTTCCTAATGTAAGCACACCCACATTTTTTAGTTCAATCTACTCTGGGAAGGAAGTAACAACATAGGACTCAGCTCAAAATGGTTGAGGATATTTATGATCTTGAAGGAAGACAGCAGGGCACACAGGAATTGACATCCCTTACTACAGGAATCCCAGAATCACCTGAATTATAACTATGTAGGGGAAGAGCCTGCATAATGCACCTGAAGTGCATCCTTTTTTCTTCTTAGGATAAATTTACTCAAATAGAGGCACATTTCAGCATAGTATATTAGATACTTCAACTGTACTCACTCTTCAAGACACAACAGGCTATTTCTGTGAAGTAGAGAGTGGCAGGGGAATATTAGAAGCATGAAATATTAATCTTTCCATCATTTTATTCCTGAGTCTGGCCTAGGTTTTCCAAGTGAAATGCATTCTCACTCTCCTTGAAGACATCTATCATTTGGAATTCCATCTGTTTTGTAAAATTCAAAATTGACTACCTTAATGACAGCTAATAGGCACAACTGTTCTGTTGGGCTGACTCCACTCCCCCCCCCAGAACCCACTGCAGTAAAAGGCAGCCCCCAAGCTATTTTGCCTTCTTACCTAATTTTTGGTCTGTTGTATGGAGCTGCATGCAAACAATCATTAACAACCTTGTCTAGGAAATGTGCACATTTCAGAGTGGGATCTTGCTCCCTAGAAGTCCAGGACAGTTCTTCTTTATGCACCACAAGAAACGGGAACAATCTTTTATTCTGAGTGTTCAAGAACCCAATTAACCAATCAACCCTTTAAACACATTTTAGAAAAGGTGTTCTTTGAGAATCTGTAATCCTGTTACCCTTGATATGCTGACTCATTTTTTTAAATACTTAGAAGTCTCATTTTAGCATTATGCCAATTACCACATTTTCATAAAGAACCACCCCCCTTAATTTTATGTATGACAATAGAGCTATTTGCATTCCCAAAGGCCATTAAAAGTAACAAGAATTGGGCTAAACTAAGTTGACAAGCTTATGTTAAAACAGAAATATCTTCAGCCAGTGTAAATTACTAAAGCACATTGACCCAGTACTTGACATGCTGTTGCTATTTTCTTCTCTTTTTTTTTAATGGAAAAGTGGTTTTAATGGTATATTCACACATCCAGCAAACAATCCCCAAGAGAGATTCACCAGTCCTCTTGAGCCAGATCCCAAGTCTATTAGTGTCTGCAGGCTTTTCCATGGACTTCTGAGCACTAGGTCTAGCAGCAAGCCAGCTGTAATCATTGTACACTGCACAGTATCCAACTCCAACCACTTGAACAAGAACCCTTAGCTGTGTCAAATGCACCTAAGTGTACAGAGGCAACCACATTCAACTTACATCTTGATCAAGCAGCCACAACTTGACAGCAAGAGCCAGGATTACGTATCACTTACAGAATGGTCTCTATACACGATGCCCAAAAGACTTAAAAGTTCAGACTTATGAAACAGATAAGCAAAGAGGTAAATTATTAACATTCTGGATAGTTGAACTGGCCTGGAGGTGGGCAACATTGCTTATCAGAAATAAACTGTATAGAAACATTTTTAATTAACAAAGGGAAGAAAGGGATGCTAATTGCCTGGCTCCAAGCAGGTAAAGCAGTGCACTGCTTATCTCCACAGCCTAATCATCTTCTAATTATTATAATTTTTGTAAATCTCAAGGCAGAACATGCTTTCATTTGCATATAGACACATGGATCTGAATTAGATTTTTCAATTTATGCCTGCTAGGCTTCTGCAGATGTTTTCAAACTTTCCCCACCCTGTTCCTGCAGTCTCTTCTCGTGCCCAGCTTCTGCTTAGGTTAGCATGGTAGGTCACAGTGTAGATTTATGCCAACTTTGTCACTTGCCTGCCTCTGGATCCAGGGAATGTCACAGCAAGGGATACAGAAAAGGGTATGTCAGAGTCTCTTACAACAGCAGCAGCTCCTTCTGAAAAAGACTCAGTCCTCTGCACACAAACTAGCACTTTGCCTTCAATTTTCATCCAGCACAATTTTCAGTTTCTTGATCAATTTTAAGCAAGAAAAAAAATAATCTCAGCATTTCCTGTTATGCATAAGCCTGGAAATAGAATTTCAACTGGAACTAGAATTTGGACAGAGCCTTTTCTCAGTTGTGAAATGTTTTAAATAAAACAGGGGTTTCAATCTGGTTTTGGTGTTGAAAGATAAAAGTGCACTTAAATCAATGGGCAAAGATTGGATTCGACCCCCCACTGTCGAGACATTTTACTAATCATGTATTGTGAAAACAAAACAAAAAAATAATCATGGAAGTGAACAAAGTTACTTACAGACTCAGACATTAATATTAATCAATATAATTGATATTTATATATGCTTGATATTTCTATTTCATCCTCACACTAGGGCAGAGCTGAGAGAGCATGTACTTCGAGAATATTTAAGCATACCATATAAGTATAATTGCAACTCAATCAGTTATAGAACATATTAAATCAAGACTCTGCATAACACTGAAGACTTACTCTGGGCATTTCATACTTCACAGGGGAAGAGGGAAGTAGCAGAGACATGGTATGCCAGTAGGAAAATGGCATTAGGCAGGTAAATACTACTTGAAACAAAACCACTGCTCCTTTATAAAAGGCAACCGACTTAACTTCTCAACTTATAAAACCCGACACTTGTACAGTTTTAAGAAGGAGGAGAGGACAGCCCCACAGCTCTCTTTGTTCAGAAAAGGCACTTATACATAAACCTCTACCCTGCTCCCAGAAACACAGCTAGACTGATTTTAATCTGCAACAAATGTACGACAAAAACACATACTGGACAGAGAAGCCTAACAGATGTAAGGTCAGATGAAAGCAGCTTCTTTACCCTCTGCATCAAAGTTATTTTCTTCTTGTTTTCACTGAACCATTGAGCCTGTTTTGGCCATTACTAAAATGTCACCCTGAAAATGCAGATTATATGATGCTATTTGTGGCACCTACTGTCTTCCCATGTTTTTCCCTTCCCCAATCCTCTACATTAAAGCATCTAGGAAAAAAAAAAAAAAAAAAAAAAAAAAGAAGAAAAACAACATGTGAGGCTCTCAGCCTATCAAGCCAGGAAGAACTATTTTAAGAATTAATTTGTGCCCTGAGAGATCTGTTCAAATTATCCTCCCGTGCTGTCCTAACCAAAGATTAAAGCAGTGAACTTCCAACGTCTTAAGGAGACGGATGAAAATGGAAGAACTGGAGCGGACGGGCTCCTCCGCGGTGCCCCCAGGCACAGGCCAAGCACAGGGAGGGGAAGCTGGTGCTGAGGATGGAGCTGCTGCTCTGCCCGTGCACCAGGAGCCTGCCAACCTTTGCCATCCTCAGCTGGAGCTCAGAGATTGCAACCAGACTTTCTTTCCCTTATGCCACCACTTCTTAAGTCTGCCTGTCTCTAACAGCTGAGGGTGAATGTCCCCTTTTTTCTGCCACCCGCTGCTTTTTTGACAGGGAAAGTTTTGACTTCATTCTGTCCTGGTAAGTGCAGTCAGGTAGGAATACCCTCTAAAAACCAGGCATGACTGAGACAGTCACAGCTTTAACTTTCCACCTCTATAGAAACATAACACAGCACCTACCAAGAGAAAGAAAACAAATCAAATTCAGCTATGGTGGAAGCACTGCAATGTCCCCCAAAGTCAATGGGAGTTGTACCTACCTACAGCTGCTTTTTGCCCCCACTCCCCCACTGCTGCTTGCACTCGCACAGCCTGACCCACCAGCTGTCCTCTCAAGAAAATGTCCAACAAAACAAAATCCCTGAAAGTGCCTGACAAAGTAAGCAGCTAAAACCCACTTCTGCAATTTCCTATCTATCTGCAGCAGGGCTGTTAAAAAGCCTTACTCCCTTTCTCCAGCAAGAAGGGGCCTCTGTCCCAACATCCTAGACTTCCCCCTCCCCGTCCAAGGAACGAGTTACAGAACAAACCTCACTCAGCAAGAGGTACAAGCTGTGAAAAACAGCAGGTTCAGCTTCCCCCTCCCAGCTTCCACATGCACTGAGAAAGCAAACCTTGAGCCCGGGTACACTGTACTTTCCTCCTGCCACTGACTGGTGACTCAGTTGGCAATTTTAGGAATGCACACCAAGAAGATAAAAAATTAAGACAGTAATCATAGAAGAAACACAGAGCTACACAATGCAAAGCTGTACTTAAATTGAGGAAAATAAGCATTACCTGATCTTGTTGTTGGGCTTGTTTCCCTGAGGCGTTTTGCTCCTTGGCTGTAGTCATGCTCACCTATTTGTGCCCACTGCAGTGGCAAACAGGATTTTACAGTGTGTGAGTGTGTGTCTGTGTGTGTGTGTGTGTGTGTAAGCTTGTCTGTGTGTGTTCAGACACACACGTATGCATGCACACACACACACACAAAGACCGGGGAGATGAGTAACTAGTCCATCACTTAATCACCAGCTGAGAAATTTCCCACCCCCCAAAAAAAAAGAAATCAATTTTAAAAAAGCAATGCAAAAAACCCAAAACAACACTAGTCTAGCTGTCTTTCCCCCTTGAGCCTTTCAAATCAAAGCAGAAGCAGGAGCAGGAGAGAAGGATGCTGTGGGGGCTTCTTCAATTAGCAACAGCCTCTGCAATCGTCACAGAAACAATGATAACTGCTTGGCAACCAGCAACTGGCAGCTGGGAGCCGGGGAGGCAGCGATGAGCTCCCGGCTCCCCCACCTCCCGGCGGCAGCCCCGGCGCTGCGCATGCCCTGCCCTGCCCGCTGCGCGCTGCGCGGAGCTCCGCGCTCACCTCCGCGCTCACCTCCCCGCCCGCAGCCCGCCAGGGGAGGGGGGGAAGGAGCAGCAGCCACCCGGGGCTTGGGAATTGAATCCCGCACCTTCCCACGCTGCCGGCGATGGGTGTCCTGAGGATGCGGGGTTTTCTGGCAGGTGGGGCTCTGGTCTCCTGTCAATCCGGGGGAGGTGTCAGCGCCCTGGTGCTGGCCGGGCTGTGCCGAGGGCAGTTCTGGAGGGTGCAGCGTGGGCTCCCGGGGAAGCAGGTTCCCACTGACGGGATGCAGGTAACACCGATGCTCCCCGGGGAGCTGCGTGCCTCACTGCCAAAAGGCAGCACATCGACACGGGTAAAACGTGCCCCCAGGCTCCCCGCGTCCCTGATGTGCAGGGGGTTCCCCGCAGGGCTGGTACCCACCCTGCCCCCTGCGCGCTTGCAGGTGACACTGCCGGGTGACGCTCCCGGAGCGCTGCCCGCCCCGCTCCGCGCTGCCGGAGCTCGCTCCCCGCGGACGCCCTGCCCTAACACGGAGCTCCCCAACACGCTGGAGCTGTCAAAGAAGCCTTCCGAGCCCGCTCCTCCACCTTCCTGTCAGCACGGGGTGACACGGGGTGTGCACGAGGCGTAAAGCAAGCACCGCTCTCTAGGAACCCTCGGGGGACCTTACACACTTGGACAAAAACTCAGAGTATCGTGAAGGTTTTTCTGTCCGTGAGCCCTAGCTCACCTCATCAGGTTGCTTCTCACCTTCCTAGTGCACCCAACGCACCCGGCTGGGCCCAGCCCAGGACCTGCCTCTGCTGTAGCACAGTAGAAAAGCTGTTTCCTCCCTCACGTGATGCAGGGATCTCTGCTGAGTCTGCAGATACCCAGCTAAGGAAAGGGAACATCAGAGTGTTTATCTGACAGGGAAGTGATTATGCCCCACTTGATCCACAATTTTTACAACAGAGATTTATCATACGAGGTCACATTCACCAGGAGCACAGCTCTGCTGGAGCCAATCTCTCCTTGCACCAGGGATGTATTTAAACCTTGGTTTAGGGACAGATCAACAGCAAGCTCAGTTTTCCTGGAGGTTACCTGCCAGCCACCACTAAGACTGTAGTTCTGCATTTTCACAATTACATACCACATCAGTTCATAGAAACTACAACATAAAAGATCTGCAACATGAAATTGTGCTGGTAGGAAACTGGACAACCTTGCCTGGTCCCAGTTGCAGGATCCAGGCAACAGCTCATTAAAAAAAAAAAAAAAAAAAAAAAGCCAAAATGAAAGCAAATCACACCTTTCTAACAAAAACCAATAATTTACATTTAAATCTAACAGCCTGTGTCAGCCTCTTGCTGGGTTATACTATGACACAGTCCCAGCTTACATTGCAATTTCATCTCTTTAGTCCCAATAGTTTTAGTCACAATATTTTGTAGATGTTTATAGGGAGGTTATTCTTGCTCACACGTTTTTCCTCAGTCATCAGGACAGAATTGCTTTCAAGGTCTTATATAAGTGAATCAGTTTGATTTTCCAGTTGGCTTGGTCTATTTTTCTACTTGTTGTGGGTAGTAACCAAGGCTTGCTTTACTCCACACTTTTGCTATTTTTATTTCCAGAAGGAATTAAAACAAAAGGAAACTGTATTTTGGGTTGGATTTTTTCTTTTTTACTTCCTTACAGTATATCATGAAAATTTCTACAAAACAGATCCCTCTCAAAACACAGACCACTCACTGTGTCCCTGACCCCTCAGCATTTGCACTGGTAATCACCGAGATTAACTGCACAGTTAAAGAAAATAAATCTATTTGTATCTGCCTGTTAACCCTTGCATACCCTCCCCATGCATATTCCATTCTTTCATGGTTAACAAGTTAAGACACAAAGTTTTAAATAGCTCTGGAAATAGTCACTCTCCTTACAAAGTAGATTTTTTTCCCAATAAGGCTGTTGTTGGACACATAAGAAGTTAATTGTGCCAATTAGTCCAGCAGTTAGCTATGCAAATGCATATGGCTTAGCCTCATTAGATAGGTGCTTTATGATGCTGACTGTTCTCACTGCACATCCCAATGTTTTGGCAGAGCTATCCCAGTGTTATTGAAATGCCCTGGTCTTTCATCCCGGTGACACACCCCTGACAGCCCTGACCTGTGCAGGGGGTTTCGGCCCCTCGGATGGACATGAGATCATGGTCACTTCCTGGAGGATGAGAAAGCAGGGGACAGTCACATCCCTCAGCTCTCTGCCACCATCCTTCCTTGATCAAAGGTGATCAGAGGTTGCCAAGCACCTCCAGGAGAGACTCTAAAGGAGGAAGCAGTGGCCATTGCCATTCAGAAATACTCATTACTACAGGCACAGAATAATCTGCTCGCATATTAGCAGGGCTCAGCCCATCCATCCTGACCTCTGTGCTATGTTAAGGTACCAATTTTATTGCTTGGCTGAGACATCACTTATGAAAGATTAATACATCCCTTTCACAGGACAAAAATCAGTATCTGCCAACCCCAGCAGCTGCCCAGACAGAAAGATTTATATAGACAGTCCCATTTAGTGTGTTGCAGGTGGCACGCTGGGAACATGACCTTTCCCATTCATCCCACCCCACAGCATCCCAGATGATCACAGGGATACAGGCAGAAGATTTTTCCTCCCTGCCAGGTTTCCCTCCCTGCATCAGGTTGTTCATCCCTTAACCACCCATCACTTGCACATGGTTCATCTTTGCTGGCCACCTGTGCTACATGAAGGCAAGCTATCTCTAAGCTTGCTCACTGACACACAAGCTGCACTCTTGTCATGAGCATCTTCGGTTAATCCATGTCGTTCACACCATGCCACCACTGGGAGAGGTCAGGAGCACTGCTACAGGCACAGACAGCTTTCCTTCTTAACCAAGATGCATGTTCAGAATGCCAGCTACAACCACATGACTGGTATCCCCACACTTCACAGCAATTAGCTCCTCCAGCACTATGGCAGGACAGAGAGACACTTCCCTTCCATCAGGAGAGGAGCCAGTGACAGGACCTCTTCCCAGCTTCTCAACTCACCTTCACCCAGAGCGCTCATTTGCACAAAACCATGCAGCTCTGCAGTAAGACAGATAATTTTTAATTACCTTGTAACAAATTAGTCACACGTGTGCTAGAGCCTTTTCTGTTAGAAGGAAAGTGCATCATTCTCCTGAAATTGGCAGGAACAGGATTGTGGTCTGGGATCTTTCTCTGAACACTCCCAGGAGACCTTGGAGAGCATCTCCACAACCACTGCACAGCTCCCTCATTCTCAGAGTGTTGCAAAGCTTGCACATTGCAAATGGAAAATAATCCTGGAATGGGTCTGGGAGACAAGGTGGGCTAAAACCTTAAAGAGTCATCATCATGAAGACCCATGAACTTTGAGGAGCAAAAGCACAATAACTATTGTTTATGACCACCCATTACAAAAACGTATGCTAAGGAAAGAGGCAGTTTGTTATTGCTCCCAAAGATTTTTAAGCATATAAGTTTACTAAAACCATCCTTGGTCCTGCCCCTCCATGTAGGCAGAGGTCTCTGCTGTCTGTGGATGCATAGCAGCCCCTTCATGGGAAGCAGTGATGGAATCTTAAGAGTCAGTGCAGAGCATTCCTGTCTCCTGCACATTATGGAAGCCAGATCCAACAGGAGCCAGTGCTCACAGGCAGCCCTCCAGCCACACATGTCTGTTCAAGGGAGTATAGACCTAGGAAGGGGAGTAACAAGCATGCCGAAGCAGTGGGTGTAGTTATTGGATGCAGAACCCTTCTGCTCCTTTGAAACCTGGGTTCTGGCTGTACCACTCTAGGCTATTTATTCCCCCTTCATTACCACATCAAGCAATTTGAAGCCAGTGGGCAGAGTGGATAGAAATGAATTCTACTTGATTAACTGTACCTTTGCACCGTCCTCTAATGTTCTCCCCTCTGCAGATAAAGACTAGATCCCATGGAGAGCTACATATTGGAAGTTTTTAGTCAGTCTAAACCACCAGTATCTGGGGTGCAGTAAAGTGGTACCTCCAGCAGAACACACCATGTGATTCACTCTTGTACAGCCAGGCCCTCTGAGCTTCACATTCACTACCAGCTCCCATTGGTTTGGCTGCTTTGCCTTCAGCTCAGGAAAGACACATGGCCCAGGAAAGGACATAACTCTGGCAGCTCTAGCAAGGGAAAAATCTCTACTCAGAGGTGGGTTACAAAGGAAAAGTCCTAAGGGCTGCAGTTTTCAGGATACAGTGTTACAGGTAGTAGATGCTAGTAAGGTAACTGAGGAAGACAGACAGTCTGCCAGCATGGATACCTACTATGAGGAAAGTGAGATGGACTTGCAAAAATGTTGTAGCTGTGGATTTTACCCTTCAGTCATTTAAAAGGTGACTGATGCAGTTTGGATTAAAACAAGCCAAAAGGATGCAAGAGGAGAAGGGCTTATAGTACGTATCAGTGCTGCTCTCCCCAAAGCTG